CTTTCAAGTCTGTCTGGTCATTACTTTACTGTAACGATAACGGTGTCATGTCATTAGGGATATCACAACGCCGGGGAATGAGGGAGAAGATTAGTATGATTGATACGGGGCAACAGTTACCGGTGTTGGCGTAACGACAGAGTATTCATCTCAGAACCAAAAGGTCCCGGGTTCGAATCCTGTCATGTCACAGGTCTTGTGCCTTTGGGAAAGGTACTTTACACCTAAGCTGTGTGATGTTTCTGACTTAAGGAGAAGAGATACTGCTACATTAAGCGTTAGTTCTGTGCCCTGGAGTGGTCTTTGTGTCTTTGCACTGAGCACACTCGTTACAATAACACTATGAGAAGCACCATATTAGGAAGTGTTAGAACATCAAGCAGGAAAAAGCTAGTGTGAGTGAAATGCATGCAGTGTGCGGGTAAAATTGAAAACAAGAAAAACTATCGCTCCTATATAGCTCTTGATTTGGTCGATTTATAATGCAATAGTGTATAATGATTTAATGCAATAGTGTATAATGATTTAATGCAATAGTATCAGATTCAGATTCAGATTGGCTTTATTGATATCGCAGTGGAGTACACTGAATTAAGATCAATATTACATAAAAGTACAATATAATGGTTGGCGATATAGGGTTAAAAGGTAGTGCAATAGCACAATACAGTACATGATTGAAATATAGTACAATAATCAATAAAAGAGGAGCGTCATATATACAAAGAATTGGTCGTGACAGTAAGAAAATATTCGCTCATTGACAATGCATTAAAAATAAAGTACAGATTAAAAGTCATGCTGGTTCAACAATCGAGTAAGGTAGGGTATTGGTGAGTTTCTGTATCTCTGTGTTTTAGCCTTTGGAATATCAAGTTCTATATAATTGGCGACTTAAACATCTATATCATGTTGTAACGTACGTGCGATCTTTGTGACTTTGATCCCAAATATGACAAAGGTGTAATGCAGTTATCTTGCATGAATGTTGATACGAGTCAAATTGAAGATAATGAACATTAACTGTTACGTATTAAAGAAACTAGAATATGACCAAATGATAATTGTTATCATTAGTTAGGCCACACCAAGTAAATTTTATGGATGACGTCCGCGCGCGCATTGATTTTGGCCTGTTCCTAGAAAAAAACCCAAAGAAATTCCGCTTCCTGTAACAATGACCAAAGAGTCACGACAGTCCGGCAAATAGGTTTGTACGGACCAAAGCTTATGAAGCATCAAGCAAGACTTCCATTAGGAATTCAGTTTGGTACATGCTGCCACATTTGAAGAAACTTGCTGACCGCTCAATCTATCTCCCCAAAGCACAGGACGACAAGTGCTGTTCCACCTAATTAATTGCTGTTTTGATGAGGAATAAAAGACTTCTTGCTTGTTTCACTGTGTCACCTTATTCAATTTGTGTCCTAAAATTTGTCGTCTCTTAGTATATTTCTAATCTAGGCATCTTGTTTTTTAGGGCCCTTCTTGTTTTTTTTCGCCCTCTCGCATTAGACTTAGGGTCTCTAAAGGACGTCATCCATAAAATTTACTTGGTTTGGCCTTACAAAAAGGGTCTGACAAACTGAGACCTGCTTTAGAAGAACTTGACTATTTTGCAGCCTATAATGGCAACGACAATCTTAAAAGACAGCAGAGCTGTATATAAGCTGGAAATCCATATGGATCAGCCTAATATCATAGCCATATGGCATTATAAACATGTGCAACGTCTGAAATGTTAATGTTTCTGCTACCCTGACAATATAAGCAAAATACGTCTGAACCTGTGTCAAGTACTGTTTACTTTCTTTTACTTCACGCATACAGAATTTTAACCGTGAACCGGATTATGACAGGATCATACGAGGTAATCCTCTTACGGAAACAAGATTACGTGTATTAAAGATGGGATTTCCAACATGATTGAAATTGAGAGATTAAGTCATTCCTTCAGGGTTAGGCCACAGCAAGTAAATTTTATGGATGACATCCGCGCGCGCACTAATTTTCGCCTGATTTTGAAAAAAAAACACAAGAAATTTTGTTGCCTTCTGACAGTGGTCAACATGCCGAAATGGGCAAAGATTTCTGTTGCCATGCCGGAAGGTGGATGGCAGATAGCTATGAAGAGAGGAGACAAGAAAAAAGCTTTGATTTAATGTTTTTTTCTTACTTTGATGCAGTGATATGTGATGCTGGCTGTGTATATGTGATGTTCCCACTGAATAAAAACCATTTGAACAATGATTGAGTCAAAATTTTAAAATGTAGGAACCTTGTTTTTTTCGGCCCGCCTTGTTTTTTTTTCGCCCGCTCGCATTAGTTTCGGAGTCTGAGGAGGATGTCATCCATAAAATTTACTTGCTGTGGCCTTACCACAATGCAGTCGCACATTCGTAACAACAACAAATTACGAACATACAGATTACTAAAAAAATACTTACCACGAGGAAAAATATCTGAGAATTACAAATATTCGACATAGAACAGCCGTCACAAAACTCCGGATAAGTTCGCACAAACTGCACATAGAAAAAGGCAGACACAACCGCATTCTTCTACAGCAAGGGATCTGCCAATTTTGTAACCTAGATAATATTGAAGATGAATGCCATTTTGTAGTTGACTGCACATTATATAGAAATGAGAGGGATTCCCTCTATACTTGTGTAATAGATAAGTTACCAAGCTTTGGAAATTTAGATAGAATGGAAAAATTCGAATTCCTCATGAAACTTGACAAACCATGTATCATTAGCTCAATATGTTCGTACATCTTTATAAACTGCGTCAAGAAGCGAGAAGAAGCTGAACCTGTAAATAGTAGATCACATTAGTATATATAGTATGTAAGTGTCATTGCTGTATTCTTTTCCCTGTTCATCCATCATCAAATCTCTAAATCAGTCAATGTGTTTAGAGGACTTAAATTTAAACTTTCCCGACAAGTTCTTGAAATTATTTATAAAACATTTTTACGTCCATGTCTTGAATATGCGGACGCAATATGGCATGGTTGTACTGCTGAACAGTCTTCATCTGTCGAGAGAATCCAATACCATTGTTCAATTGTTGTATCCGGAGCCATTAAAGGTTCCTCCTATTCTAATATATGTCAGGAATTGGGTTGGGAGACTCTTTCGAGCAGACGCCATGTACATAGATTATCATTATTTTATAAGATTGTTCACGGCTTAACACGGACATACCTGACTGAATTACTGCCCCCAGAAATTTTTAATACTACTGTATACAACCTAAGAAACAAATTAAACTTTAGACTCAGTAGGCCTTTTACTAATAGACATTGTAAATCCTTTATCCCGTACTGTTTAAATTATTGGAATGATCTTGACTTTGATATTCGCTACTTACATTATGTACCTTTTAAAAACCATCTCACTAAATTAGTACGCCCCTTTCGTCCCCCGTGGTACTCTTGTGGCCAAAGGTACACCTGCGCCCTTCTTACCAGGTTACGCATCGGTACCTGCAATCTTAACTATAGTCTTTTTAATCGTGCTTTGATTCTTAGCCCTTCATGTATTTGTGGGTATCCCTGCGAATCCATTTCTCATTTTATATTACACTGCCCTTTGTTTACTCAGTTAAGAGCTGATTTTCTTAACAATCTCTCTGATTTAATCGGTCATTTGATTGATTTAGATGCCCTTTCAGAAAGTGCCAGGCTCCATCTTGTACTCAGGGGATCGCTTGCGATACCCTCTGAGTACAATGAAAAATTATGTTACTTACTCAAGATTTCATAAGTGGCACTAGACGTTTTTTTGTTACATAGTATACTCTGTTTTGTTTGATCATATAACACTTCTCTTTAGATATATTACTGTATGTATGGGGTCTAGTTTCTCAGCGCACTACTTGTATGACCATTGTATTTATGTTAAATGTTAAGTGGGGCTGTAAAATAAGTTGTATAACTTGAGTTCAGCCCCACTTCGTCCTTGTCTTGTATTGTTCCATTCAATAAAAAAAAAAAATCCATGACCTGTACTTAGCTTGTTAGAGCACAAACGTACAATAAAGGTCTTTCATTCATTCATTAACTTTCGTAGCCCCTTTGACGTACTTCGCGCGTACGACAAAAGACGATGCCAACAAAGCAAAGTAGATCTTTTAAGCAGTAGAATGTCAAAATGTATAGTGCAAGGATAATTGCACATCACACCAGATACCAATAAACAGTGACAACAAACGCCACTATGTTATAGCACTCCGCCTATTCGCCATTTCAAAGTCGACGAATATTGCTATGTGTTATGAAATACAAGAATCATCCTGGCAAGGGCAATTTTGTAGAGGGAGAATGTCATCTCAGAGGACTGGTAACCTTGAGGATAATTGATTGTATACAAGACCCGTGCTGAAAAGTATTACGTAGACAGGTTGGAGTACCTCGTTTGATTGGCTGATAGTCATGTTCAATCTACTAACGGTTTTTAACGGTTGCATGGCTGTCATATTGGATTTTACTAATGCGACTGCACTAGTGCGTTTGTGTTATTGCAAATGTCAAATATTCTTCAATGGTGTCCCTACCACACCCCTAACTACAACCTCTACAGTTCATGAAAGGCAAAGAAGTATTCATACCTCCAAATTTTCAAACGTTTCAAATTTTCAAACCTCTACAGTTCATGTTTAAAGTTAAAACATTTGGTCCAACACAAAGAAATCTCTCACCTAGAGCTTTCGACCAGTCACTCTGGTCTTCCTCAGTAGACTGACCCAGTGAAGCTTGTCACGTGGCTTCTTTGAAGTGTGACGTCAACGCTGGTAGATGATGTCAGCCCCCGTCGCGGTTCAATGAACTCTACAGTTCATGTGAGGCAATGAAGGATTCATACCTCCAAATTTTCAAACGTCGTAGATATCCAAATATGACTTAAAAGTCTTACACACTGTCACTGACTGTATACTTCGAATGGTGATGCTATTCCAAAGAACTAATGTTGGACGTTTTGTTTTTACTTCAGAGTACCAGTTCGGTGACTTTATGTGCAGGCTGACGGCGCTGATTCAGGGCTTGTCTGTGGCAGCATCAGTCTACACACTAACAGCTATAGCAGCGGACAGGTCGGCTTGATTATAATCCCCTAAGGCCACATCGACTTAATTGTATGGATGGTATCCGCGCGTGCATTGATTTTCGCCTGTTCTCAAAAAAAAAAAAAAAAGAAAGAAAAAAAAAAGATCACGTCCTCCGAGGCTCTGGCCTGGCTCTAGGCCTGGGTAGTCCATGATAGCGACAATACGGAGCCGGGCACCCAGGCTACCGAAGCTCCACGACTCAAGAACTCAGTACATACGCACAGTGCCGATTCATAAGTTCCGCAAAAAGCCAGCATGTGCCGGCTTGTCATATACGTCGCTATGTACTGTCACAAATTCACAATACCAGCAATTCCTGTGGTTTAGTAGCATTTTTAGTTTTGGCCGGAATTTTTTTCATTCGCCCGCGCGCACTGGTTTGGGGGTCTTCAGAAGATGTCATCCCTAAAATTAAGTCGGTGTGGCCTAACTTCAAACGCAGATGTTCCTGGTGTTTGTTAATATATGCTGCATTTCTTCACATTGTCCCCTGTTTTTAAATGTATCATTTTTACCAACGAAATATGTTACTTTTTACACATGGCTAGCGAGTTTAGTGTTCTATGATTTTAGCGGTTAGAATATTCGTAGCTGTACTTGTCGTGAGTAACAGTGTAATCCAGTTCCTCATAAGGGCCTCCGCGAAACTGTAACTTTTAGAAGTTCAATAAAACAAGTCTATAAAACCATCTAGTTGCTTCAATGGTTATATTCAATGCAAGAAGGTCACGTATCCATCTAATTGGGATTGTCTATATTTTCTGTTTAGATACAAGGCGATCCTGTTCCCTCACGATGGTCCTATGAACATGGCGACTATGAAGAAAGTCTTGGTCGCTATCTGGATGGCCGCTCTCGTGATCATGGTCCCGCAGGTCTTCGTCATCCAGGTACGGAACGTCAAGCGCGTGGACCGGTGTACAGAGATCTGGCCCGACCTGGTGTACAAGAAGGTGTACTCCGTCACGGTGATTCTGCTCATCTACATCCTGCCGCTCATGGTGATGACCTTCCTGTACGTCCGCATCGCCGAGAAGATCTGGTTCCGGGCCGGGCTGCAGCAGCAGCGGGGCGGCAACAAGAGCGACAGCGTGCGGAGGAGCGAGTTCATCGGCTCCGTCCCCAAGAGACGGAAACGCGTCATCAAGATGCTGATCGTGGTGGTGACGCTGTTCATGTTGTCGTTCCTGCCGCTATATGTCTGCTGGATGCTGGATGAGTTTGGTAACATGCCCGAGTGGCAAGAAAACGTTGTCCACCACTTCGTGTACCCGTTCGCACACTGGCTCTCCTACTTCAACAGCTGCGTCAACCCCATCGTGTACGGGCTGTTCAACCGAGACATCCGCAAGAACGTGGACTGGGGCAGGTTTAGCCTGATGACGCGCAGCACCATCATCACCGACAAAAGCTGTCGGTCCAGGCGGAGGGAGAACCACCAGGCACCGGCTGATGAACAGGTTTACAACGTGCGACTGCAGATGGAAACGGCTCTGTAAAGTCCCGACATTCGCAAGAACGTGGACTGGGACAGGTTCAGCCTGATGACGCACAGCACCATCGTCACCGACAAAAGCTGCCGGTCCAGGCGGAGGGAGAACCACCAGGCACCGGCTGATGAACAGGTTTACAACGTGCGACTGCAGATGGAAACGGCTCTGTAAAAACCACGTTTCTGGACGATATATAAGGATCATATTCTGGATGATGAAATACTGGGGTACAAAAAATGAATACTTTTTAAAAATGACAAAGATGTTAGAAAAATTCTGTAGACACGGTTTGTTATCAAATGAAGACCGGGCTTTTGACCAGGTATGTAACAGACATAAAAGCCTGAACATTATAAATCCAAACCCAAAGCTGATTATGAGGAAAACAGCGTCTTTAATTTTCTGCTCGGGAAGACATCTGATTCTGCCCTGTTCTTCTAGCCTCTACCAGGATTCGGAAGCGGTAGGAAAGACAGGCCTAGGAAACAAGATGCGATCTGACTGATTTGCTCCTTAGAGGATCTAGGGCCAACTCCCCTGGCATGTCATCTTTCTATCTAGCCAGATTCTACTCTCTCCACCCGCTTCCAGAAGACTGGTAGAGGCTACTGTTCTTGTTGTTTTATTGGGAATATAGTATTGAAGAATGGTCACGTCGCTTGTAAACAGTGATTACACCAAGGTGACCAGTTTATAAGATTTTATAGTATGATGGTGTCAATACGTACACCCGGATGAAATATTTGCGACTGTACTGAGTTAATGATACTCACACTGACACACACACACACACACACACACACACACATGCACACAAATAACAGAAAAAAGAGTAATATCCTTAATCCTTACCCTCATGGGTCTGAGGGGGTGTGTTTGTATGTGTGTGTATGTGTGTGTGGGGGGAAGTGCATGTGTGTGTATGTGTATGTGTGTGTGTGTGGTGGGGGGAGTGCATGTGTGTGTGTGTGTATGTGTGTGAGTGTGTGTTTGTGTGAGTGCATGTGTGTGCGCGTGTGTTTGTGTGTGATTGTGTGTGTGAGTGTATGTGTGTATGTGTGCGTGTGTGTGTGCGCGCGTGTGTGTATGTGTGTGAGTGTATGTGTGTGTGTGTGTGTGTGTGTGTGTATGTGTGTGTGTGTTTGTGTGCGTGTGTGTGTGTTTGTGTGTGTTTGTGTGAGTGTATGTGCGTGCGTGTGTGTGTGCATCCCCGTGTGATTTGTAGACTTGCACGATATGTTTATGGTAATTTTTGCACCAAGAAGTTTTAAGAATATGTGGGAATACATAGAATTCGTATTGCATACGTTGAAATTTAGGCACTGTAAATACTTAAAAACCTTTCCTATAGTTTTTTAATGCAACGTCTGCTAATTTTGAATAGGAGCATAAAATAATTAACACGTTTGAAATTTATGTATATATGTTTCATCGATGTTAGTTTGTGACTTTATGATTATTATTTATGTTGTACAGAATTTGGAAAATTATATGTTATATTATATTATATTATATATAGTTTATGCGCTGTGTCATGTCATATGTATTGTAATGATTCTGCTTATCTATAACTTGTATTGCTATGTATCGTTTGAAGGCCTCATTCAAGCATTCAAGTTTAAATATAACGTTCAGACCAACACAGGTTAGTCCTATGTTTAGGAATCGTTTTGAAAGACGATGCTCTTTTTACCATATAAAAAAAGTCTCAAGAAACGAGTGTATTTCTGTTGTGAGATTTCTAAACCGTAGTGTGGAAATCCCGATCTTTTATTGTGGTAATTCGTTCCGTTTAAATACAATTATCGCATGGAAGACTATGGTCTGCTTTACACATAACTTTTTCAAGGCGACTAGAACTCAAGACGACTTGAGCTACTCGACTTAAGCGAAAATTTCCCTGTGTAAAGAGACATAATTCAACTCTAGTCGCATTCTAATAAAGACGACTTGAGTCGTGCAAAACCAGACTTAAGTCGGCCAGCGGGGTGCCGAGTCCGCTAGCTTCGCGTGTGTAAACGGGCGAAGTCGACTTGAGCGTCTCTGCGTAGTAGCCAGGCAAGACCGAGCCACCGAGTCGACTTGGGGGGAGGGTGGCACAGCGGGAGTGCCAAGTCGCTTTGCGGCCCCGTTTGTAAACAGAAATTTTTCATGTCGACTTCGCTGAGTCGACTTAGAAATGGTGTGTGTAAAGTGGTCCAATTTCTCTTTCCGTCATTGCGTTGAAGTTCGTCATAGTTTTAATGGAAATAAACCACGAGTGGTGGAATAAAAGGGCTGTCCTGAAAATGTGTGTGTTTTCAGAACTGTTTGGGGTGCGTGGCATGTATGTGTAGGCGAGGCATGCGAATTTCCGTCTCGTAAACGGTCGTCGCCTTCCAGAACGGTCGTCGCCTTCCAGAACGGTCGTCGCCTTCCAGAACGGCCGTCGCCTTCCAGAACGGTCGTCGCCTTCCAGAACGGTCGTCGCCTTCCAGAACGGTCGTCGCCTTCCAGAACGGTCGTCGCCTTTCTATGCCATATCGCTGACTGGTCGATGCCATATTCGAGCGTATCATAACTTTTGTTGAGGTCCAAAACCGTATAAAACGTAATACTTATACTATAAAAAGCGAATGCAAATGTTTGGGAGGATCATGAAAAATAGTAAAGTTCTTAGTGAAAAAATAAAAAGCAGAAGCTCGGATTCGAATCCTTGTCAAAAAGCATAGCTCTACTAGAAAGGCCGACATTTGCTTGGGAGCAACTACAGCATATTTCAGTCCATAATAGGATGGTCGGCACTGTATTCCATCGTCGTGATTTTAGATGACGTAATGATCTTAGGCACATAGAATTGAATGTGTGGGTCATTGCGCACAACTTACGTGCAACGTGACCCCAGGTAACGCGCAATGTTCGATGTGTTCGAGCAGTATTCGATGGCCAACGGCAGATGGAACGGGCCATTCTTTAGATCGAACGTGGAACGGGTATAGCACTTTTGGCCCTTTTTTGGCCGAAAATAGCCATTGAAGTCCCCTAAATGAGTCATTTGGAAGTGGTGTATGCCAAATATGTGACTGCTATTCTGTAGACACACGTTCAAGGTACCCTCATACCGAATTTCAGATCATTTGGTTGTAAAACTAGGGCTCAGGATCAAAAAATTCTTTTTTTGTCGAAAAATGCCCAAAAAAACCTTCATAAAAAATTTTCAAGGCATGTATCAAGAAAATTTAAAAAAGCCTGGGGGTATTGGCCCACTCTACCTCCATGCCAAATTTCAGGTCATTTGGCTAAAAAACGACAGAGTTGAATCCCTTTGACTGTTTGGCAGGAGGAGAAGAAGAAACATGAGAGAACACAATGTATTTCATCCATACCATTAGCCTGGGTACCATCCCCAGTAGTATATTCGCAAACTCTATAACTGGGTCTGGACTTGAACACATATAAAACGATTGGTCATGACGTCACGTTATGAGCTAGCCCGAGCAGCGGGGCTTCATTTGATTGGCTGAGCCTCAGAGGCGACGGCCAATGGCGCACCTGCATTATTCAAGTGATGTTTGTTGTTTTGTAAACACAGATCTTCGCGCGAGTATTCCTTTTCTCGGTGCGTTCTTTTTTTACCGGTAGGACGCCCAAAACATCACGAACAAAATTATTCAATGCATCTTTTTGCTCATTTTTGAGCGACGATATTCCGTCCAAATCGTCCAAAACGGACGTGATTGCAAGGTCAACATCAACCTCCGTGAGCTGAGCGGCTTGTGCGTCAGCCATGTTGATGATTTATCACGGAAAGACTGACTACGGCTATATCATGTGCGCTTTAGCGTTCGGTTCGCCGTCGGACATGTTGATGATAAGGCGTTCGGACGTTCGAACGGACGCTAACGTCGCCGTTCGGACATCCGAACAGCCCTTACCTAATATGTCACACCCAAAAAAGGGCTTAGACGAGTAGGACCAATCAGCGCGCTCGTTCAAAATCTGAACGAATATTTAGACTCCAGACGCTACATATGTGTTCACGTCCAGACCCAGTTATAGAGTTTGCGAATATACTACTGGGGATGGTACCCAGGCTACCATACCATATGGTATGGACTGAAATATAATAACCCTAACCTCTACCGTAATTCTCTAGCTCTACGCCACGAAACATTACGGTGTGCCATTATTGGCATCGACCGTGTCAAAAGGCAACGACCCTTTACGAGACGGAATATATAGGCTTATAGCGTAGGCGGGAATGTATTTTGAGGAAACAGGTGACGGACAGTAGTGGTCTGTATGATCCAACAGTTTTCCATTTGTACCTGTCTGAATGATGGATGGGGTGGCGCAGATAGCAGCAAACTGTGATCTTTTTTCATATGTCTTACATGAGGGGCATGCATGAGCCATCCTCCGATCGCGACCTTGCCCCTGAACAACAGCCAACTGCTAAAGCTCGGGAGCAGTCTTAAGCCCTGGTCACAACCCGCCGTACGTGCTTTTTGTCTGTATGTTTTTTGGGAGGCTACGTCTGCTACGTTTTTTTCTGAAAACGTGGGGAAGGAGTGGCGTCGACGCACGTCACTCGCACGTCACTCGCACGTCACTCACACGGTTGCGCAAGGTGTGAGAGTGTGGTCTGCACGCTACATCTGGCCGTGAGCGGTTGCGTGCATCGTTCGTTGCGCAAGTGGTAAGTGAGTTGTACGTGCTTACAACGTACGATCTCTGTGCGATTGCAACTTAACCGTAAGGAGGCCGTACTCACACATGCTGCTTACGTACGGTACGTATACGTACGGGACACGCGCGTCGCCCATACTCGCACGTACGGGTGGTGAATCCGCAGACCGCACGTAGAAAAAGTTTTACATGCACTTAAAGTTCTACGGCGTGTCTGCGTGCTCCCAAATCCGTAGGATTCCGTACGGAGGTGGTACTCACCACGCACGGATGCCCTACGTTTGTCCACGTTTTTGCACGTAGACAGCACGCAGAAGAACGCACGGCGGGTTGTGACC